GGACGCTGTACCCCAGTGAGAGTCAGTGTGTGTGTGTGTGGGACCCTGCACCCCAGAGAGTGTCAGTGTGTGTGTGTGGGACGTACTGAAGCTATAAAGGTTGAAGTTGCTGAATATGGGAAATGTGAGAGTAAAGGAAGCAGGAAAATAATTTCTGGCTCAGTTCACTTATAATCTATAATCTGTGAAACACAATGATCGAACAGTCATCTCAATGTGCCATGGGAGGCCCGCTTTTCCTCCTGTGGACATCGAATTTCCGTGTAACGTCAGGTCCTATTGTTTCTGTCTTGGACTCAAGATGCATTTTGACATGTTAAATGTTACAGAATGGATTCAGGATTTTTAAAAAAAACAATCATTCCCGGATGAGGGCGTCGCTGACCAGGCAGCATTTATTACCCATCCCTAATTGCCCAGAGGGCAGTTAAGAGTCAACTACATTGGCTGTGGGTCTGGAGTCACATGTAGGCCAGACCAGGTAAGGATGGTAGTTTCCTTCCCTAAAGGACATTAGAGAACCAGATGGGATTTTCTGACAATCGACAATGGATACACGGTCATTGTTAGACTCCCAATTCCTCAAGGTGGACCTGATGGTTGCTGGCCTGAGCAGCACCCATTCTAACTCCCTGAAGGTGGCAATGACCAGTGACTGATTTCTCGAAATGCCTGGAGATGATCCGAACCGTAGTACAAAGGACACACAGTGGCTTAATTCCTGGAATTCCCATGTCCCACATTTGTTGCCAGCTCTGTCTGAGCTTCCATCGTGCCCACCATTCCAGAGCCCTGTTACTCTGAGGGAAGGAGGGCAGTGCATTCCTGCATCTGACAGATGGTAATCAGATGATGCGCTCAATCCCCGGCCTGCAGAGGGGAAGGTAAGGATTTCAGGCACGTGCAGACCCTTCCCCCTCCTCGTCAGCCCAAGGGGCTGTGCAGCCAATGCTGTACCAGCACTCTGTACATGGCTGTCAGAGTGTACACAGCAAGATCCCACAAACAGAAATTACAGCCCTCATTTCAGCATTGCCACCCTCTTCCCCAGAGTAGTGGACACAGCCACCTGGGCGCGAAGAGGCTCTCTGCTGGTCCATTTGGCAGCCGTGCCCACCATTCCCCAGCGCAGCCCTTCTGAAGGTAACACACACTAACACTGGCCTTACCTTTGGGACTGGGGTCGCGTCCCTCTATGTAGAAGGGGCCGTTACGCAGTGCTACCTCCTGCAGGATGATCCCAAAGCTGTACACATCCCCCTTCTGAGTCCCTGTCGATGGACTCTCCATTCTTAGGATTTCGGGTGCAGTCCAGAGTTTCTCTGTCACAGGAAACAGCCACTTAGCTCAAAAACAGCATCTGTCAGCTCTGTGCCGGGATGGGGAGCTTACGTTTAACCGGGATTCCCAAAACTCTCCACTACTTCATCCAGCCCTGCATACAGTGACCCTCAGTGGGGTACGGGGTCCCACACACACACACTGACTCTCACTGGGGTACGGGGTCCCACACACACACTCTCACTCACAGTGGTGCACGGGCTCCCACACACACACACTGACTCTCACTGGGGCACGGGGTCCCACACACACACACTGACTCTCACTGGGGTCCGGGGTCCCACACGCACACACTGACTCTCACTGTGGTACGGGTTCCCACACACACTGACTCTCACTGGGGTACGGGGTCCCACACACACTG